CCTAGAAAGCACAGAGCTATGGGCCATTCCCCCAAAGCCTTCTCAATTCCTGTTCCAGGTACCAAGCATTGTGAGAAACCTGCTCAGTGGATATTAAGGGTTTCTGCATCCCTGTGACTTTTGGAAGGTTTTAGATCTCTTTGTGCTCTCCAGGGCACAGAAACCACTCCAGGGTACTGTGACCATTTGCTTTTGAAAAGATCAAGTCAGGCCCTCAGTTTGGACATCACTGCTCTAAAAACAAAAAGAGAGAGACCTTCTTTATCCTGTTAAAACAAACACTTGAAGTTAGTAGTGCATTTAGCTTAAAGACATTTTAAATACCTGCTAGGACCACAGCTCTCCTACAAGACCTGCAGACAGCGCATCTAAGCCACAAAAGAACGAAGCTCCCAGGGCGGTTTTAGATAAACTATTGTTAAACCCCCCCCCCCCCAAACTCTTAGCTCATATCATGCCTAGTAAGAAAAAGAAGATAATTTCTGAATGCAGTTTTAAAATGTATTTTAATATTGTACATCTACCTGAGTACAGTCAATGATGTAAGAACTTAGTTACTGTGCTGACTTCAAAACCATATTCAGCTAAAATACTGCTGCACAGGACACAAATGTGCCATTTCAGCCTCCCTCAACAATTTCTCCGTGTAATAATGACTCTTTATACTGGGATGCTATAAATATAGTTACTGGGTATATACAGTACAAGAAAAGCCAGTATTTTCAGGGAAAAAAAGAGTTACAAAGACACTGTAGACCTGAATAAAGAAATAACAAAAGGCATTTTTCATATTGTTTGTATTCACCAATTACATATATGTGGATACTTGAAACTAAACCCCTTCCTTGTTTCAAAGCAACTTCGTCTTCCATCCTATATTCAAGCTAGTCAAAGTGTTGAATTAATGGACGCTAAGTTAGAAAGTGATTCATCTTTTAGAAAAAAAAATATGAACAAATCTGATATGGAGGGAAGAGCACAATGATATGAATTCTACTGCAAATACTGAAACAGTGGATTTGGGGACCAACAAGCAAGTCTAACTGTGTTAATATACATGCCATGAAGTGTCTGTTTTTATTTATAACAGAAGTGAAGCATATTGTTTGGGGTCTTCAGCAGTCATCTGGAGGTCAGTCACTTAAAAAAAGGCAAAGTAGCCAAAATGTCAAGCACCACTTTTAATATACCAAGTCTAAACATGTGCTTCAATTGTAGCCTAATGTTAAAATCTAATATAAAAATAGCTCCTGGCAGCAAATTTTTCCCTAAATCTGCTAATTTATTTTCATGACTTGCATTAACTAACAGCTAGACCGTGGGAGTGCTTTTCTACAATGAGGCAGTCAGATGAATGCAGTCAAACATCCTACCCTCCCTTCTGAAGTGTGATTATTAAGCGGTTGTATCTATTGGAGCATTAGACAGGCTCGTAGGCTGGATCAAGCAAAGCAATTCTAACTCGTCCAAGACGTGCTACCAGTCCATTTAAAAAGGCCCTACATCAATCACAGACATTTCCTTGCTGAAGGACTAGAATCCAAGTGCAGAAATAGGGTAAAGGAATTGGACTCAGGTTCCTCTCTCCTAGGCAGCAGGATGCTTTGCAGACTAAGGAAGACACTGATTAGGAAAGTGGCATTTATGCTATGGCTCTGGGGAGGACAGCCTTTCAAAACTGATGTCTGTGGAGTCCACTGTAACAATTTTCTGCTTTTCCAAAAATGCAGCAAAAATTAACTCAGCAGCATCTTCCATTGGCACTTTTTGGAGCTAGCATCTATTGATATGCATGCTTTTCCATTTAGAAAGGGGGAGCGGCATCACCTGGCCAATACCCCAGCATTACTAATTTACAGGACGCACCACCCTGTAGAGTTACAGAAGAGGAGAACACTGGCTCCCTGTTAGTTCATTTTCCACACAATTTGGTGGAGACTGACACAAAAGCCTAAGAAATGGTAAACAGATGCATCTCGGTCACTAAAATAAAGGATACAACAGGACGCCCTGAAGTTTTAGACTGAATTAGAAGGGGGAAAAAAAGGCCTGCTCCTGAAATGGAAGTAGAAACAGAGAATGAAGCCACATCCTGTCTATAGGAAGCGAGGTGGATGTCTGCCATCAAATTCTTCAGGCAGCTGTTGCCATCCAAAACAGCCTTGGGATCAGACCCAGCTGTATTATTCAGATGGCTGGTATCTGGTGCATGAGCGAAGTGCTTCTTTCACAACCCAGTGCAGCAGGGTTGGGGCAGCTCCACGGACAGACTGGGCCAGGCAGGGACTGGGTTTTTATGCTAATATTCCATGCAGTATTTTAAGGAAGTAAGGACATCTTATTGGTAAGACTTCCCTACGGTAATCTGCCATTAAAACTTTACTGTGAAGTTGGCACAAGATGTCTAGTTCCACGTAGTCTCGGCATTAGCCAAGTTCTACAGTATTCTCAATAGCAGTACTGCTGAGAGAGATAATTAGACGCCTATTCTACTCTCAGTTAGTGCTAATGACAGCTACATATGAGCCTTGAAAGAATAAAGACCACTTAGTGTAGTAGGCAATCACAGAAAATTGTAGCAGACATACACAAAACATTTAAAGAATTTATGCACAATGTACCTCTTTCTATTTAACTACTTTTAGATCAAACAAAACGAGTTAACAGTTTCCAAACCTTTTTTTCCCCTAGTGCTGTTTCTGGACACAGTAATTATGGATGCACCTGATTGGTCACATACTAAGTGGCATGTTTCAATAACAGAACTACTTTCTAATGCTTACTGTTCATTATAATGATGTCAGATCTCCCTTTTGGGCAGTGCTGTTAACCTGCCTTAAAAATCAGCATTCTCTATATTAAAGTTATATTATATAAAGAAAAAAGTGACAAGGAAAATAGAGTATGGTTTATTGTACTTGTGACGATAAATTTTAATATAAGGATAACGGTGCTTTGATTTCAGCCTCCTTTATACATCCAAACTGCCTCATTGTCTTCCCCTGTTCCCTTTGCCCTCCCTTCTCCTACCCCCAACAATGAAGCCATCCTTCTGTCCAAGGGGTTGACTCTTTTTGAAAAGAATTTGAACTCCATTCGTCAGGTGGGCTGGAGATCTGAACACAATACACTCCCTTCTTTCCAAGCACTCCTACCCCCTAGACAGTCCAAGCAGCAATTGCATAAGGCTATTGCTACATGAAAAGTACTTTATCTACAGAGAACAACCTGTGTGCACTAGCGAAGCATAGTGGCAAGGCCATGCTTTGTACCACTATAGTAAAATCAATCCCTAAAACTGAAATACGCTATTCCAGCAAAAGGGCAGCTCTGCCACCATAAGTGAACCTATGTGTTAGAAGGGGTCTGTTCACACAGCTACGTCAGCCAGTTATTCTCTCTTCACACCCCTGACCACAACTGTGCCAGCAGGGCACCGTAGAGTAGGCCCAGCCCCAGGAGGTTTTTCAAGGGGCACAGAGGAAAGTCAGCCATCCAATCTGCATTCAGTGGAGTCAGGCACTAAACCCTTCCTTGCACCTTTGAAAATCCTTTTCAAGTCAGCAAATGGCACAATTTAGTCTTCCTTATAGCAGTACAAGATCTACCAACAAGACAATTCAGGATATTATGTTCACCATTGCATTTTCCTCAAAAAATAATCTATTCTACTATTTCTCTATGAGCACCTATACACATGACAGTTCTGTGCTCTGACATGTGCTAATTGGCACGCATCAGAGCAGACTCGATTAACTGAGTCTACTGGAGCATGTTAATTAGTGTGCTCCAGCAGCCCCGTGTCATGCGTATTCAGTATCCTCTCATTTCAAAATGGTGGCAGGGGTGCTTTAACTAAAGTTCGTCAAATGAGCTTTAGTTAAAGCACTCCCACTGCCATTTGGAAGCACGGGACGCTGAATACATGTGATACTGCGGGTGCTTTAAATCAGAGCAGTTCTCAGAGCCGCTCTAATTAAAGCACCCCCCCCACAGCATGTGTATAGACGCTCTACTTTATCAGATTCAACCACTGACTGCCTCTTCCTATTGTATCCTACTTCCATTTATTAACAAGTCCCAACCTGCAGTGTTTAGCTTATGATGAAGGCAGCTACCATGCCCAGGGCCACTCCCACTTTTTTAGGCACCCCCACTTTCCATAACCTTTAGAATATATATTCCACTTATTTTAAAAGCCTTCTAAGATGCATTTATTTTCACAAAAACACTGCTCAAAGGCTGGCTAATTTGTATTTTGAGGACTTGGCAACTATAGTGTTTGGGGAACCTATAAAATGGTACACAAGGATAAGTGAAACTGGAGAGTTAAAAATATTGAGCTTTTGTTGTGCTGTGCTTACCCAGAACAATTCACTCTACTGCCTGTCATAAATAATTCAATCGTAATTTCAGAAGGGTATTCTTAAAAACATGAAACAAGTTTGACTCAAGACCCCATGAACCCCAGTTCAATGGTCTCAGTCTGGCCGTTCAGATATGGAGATTTTCATAACAGAAACAATAGAGTTTGGTAGAACTAAGCCACTAAACTCCCAGACTGAGCCAGAATGGAAAATGAAATATGTGACGTGAAAATGATGTACCCAGCAAGGCATAATTAAAGTCAATTAGAGGGAGTTTATACTGAGATCATCAACACTTTTCTTAGCCCATGAAAAGAAAATTGCAGTTTCACTTAAAGCTTTTAATACAATAATAAAAAGTCACAAATTAGCATCTGAGACAAAATGGGGACAAGACCAGAAACACACCTGTAAGTTCAGCTTTAATCGAGTGATGCTAACAAGTACTGTGATTCGGTAAATCCTAAAAACTAACTAACTATCTGGATAGCCTGAAATTTGTGAATGCAGATAGGAGCAAATAATGCCTATGCATGCAGAATTAAAAAGAGAATGGAAGAATACACCAAACATTCATCTTACTTAACATAAAACACCTTCCACTGATATAAACAATGGTCCAGGCAATCTTACCCTCTTTCCCATCTACAGGTTTAGATATTTCCATATCAAAGTTCTCTTGCACTTGTTGGCCTTTGAAACAGGTGAGATGTTCCTGTTCTATTAGATTACTTTCTTCCTCTTCTAGAGGCTGCCAGGTCCCGTCAATAAACCACTGTCCACGCATTACAGGGATTTTTTCCGTTTCTAAAAAACATTAAATGAGAGAGATCGAATTCAGCACAGCAAGAACTGATAGCGAGTAAAATAAAATATATATATATATTTTAGGATAAAATAGGAGTTTTAGGAAAAGTTAGAATACGACTTCTGGAATCTTAATTAAAGTAACCGCAGCTCTTTAGTTAGGCTATAATGGAGTGGGCAAACTCCAGCCCGTGCGCTGGATCTGGCCCACAGGGGGACTTCGTCTGGCCCATGGCAGGTCCTGCCTGGCCCATGGCAGGTCCTGCCTGGCCCAGCTGCCACGCGGCCCGTGGTGCATCCTGCTGCCCCAGTGCGGCAGGGTTGGGGCAGCTCCACGGACAGACTCCATTTCCTGGCAGCCCTGGTGGCTCCTTCCAGCTACTGCTGCTACCAGCCCTGGCCCCATGGAGACCAGCTGGGACCCCTGTGGGCAGGGCCCAAGCCCCAGCCTGCCCTGCTCAGGGGCTGGGGTCCCTGCAGTGCCTGCTCTGGACACGCCTGCCCAGCCAGGATGAACAGCGGCAGCGGGGGAGAAGCTGCTGCTGGGTGTGGGGAAAAGGCAGGATCTGGCAATGGACATGGCCTCTCCCTCGCTGCTGCCAGGCCCTTCTGGCTGCCACTGCCCAGAGCCTGCGCCAGGGCTGCCCTGTGGGAGGTTTGGTGAGCTGTTGCAGAAGGGATGGAGGTGCTGACCTGGCCTGCAACAACTCCCCAAAACTTCCTGTGTGACCTGCAGGCCCAAAATATTGCCCATCCCTGGTCTATAAGGTGCAAATCTACCCCGTCTTCTGTCTTTACTAAACAACCACCTTTCCCTTAGCACACAAGATACTAAAAAACCCAACCAAACAACAACGATTCATTTTATCTTGCTGGGATCCTATGACCCCAGCTGGCTTCCTGCCCCTGGGGCAGGGGGCTGGACTCGAAGATCTTCCAGCCCGAGGTCCTTTCCAGCCCTAACGTCTATGAAATTTACACAGCAATTGTCAGGAAGGAAGCGATTTTGGAGGTTTCCTAAATACTGAAGTCAGGAACTTTTTTTTTTGGTAATATAAGATTGGGCTCTCACTAATGGTCATCAACAGTCTGTTTCATTCCAACCTCTAAAGCAGTATAAAAGTATTTTTAATATTCAAAATGAATATCTGCATGCAAAATGTTAGAGGTCTCCACCAAAGGTTGGGAATGAAACATATCCTTGTGCCCTGCATCCAGGGGTGGTTGTTGCTCAAAATAAGGAGGCCTGCAGGAAGCAGGCCTCAACCCTTCTCCACCAGCAAGTTGGTAATATTGCCATGGCAAAAATTGGGACGGTGGCTGAAACATCACTGGGAATCGATTTGGTCTGGGTCAAGGGAGACGGGTGGATGGTAAAACGCTCATCCTCTTCCCTTTATAGAATAAAATACTGGGACACTTCACAGGAAAGGGCAGGCTAGGCAGAGCCCAGCATTTATCCCTTTGTGGTTACTTTACTGTTCTCTCCAAATCCCCGACCCTCCATCTTAGTGCAGGCTTTTATCATCCCCACTATGGTCTCTCTCGTACATTCACACTGCTCCCAGCTCAGAAAAGACAACGCTATCCACCAGACAGAATTCTTCCCCTTTCCCCAGTCATCCCACAGGACCAGGCTGACACCAACCTCCCTCAGCTCCCTCCTAATTATAGCAGGATCTGGAAAAGCAAGAGCAGAAGTTGCTAAGAACATATTTTGCTTCCGGAGGGCTGAAGGACTGTCAGAGAAACCTGTGATTCCTTGATGCATGCAGGCCTCCTCCCGCTGCTTTCAATTGTATAATGCAAGGCTAGAAGTCCCAAATGGCAACCATGTGTCCTACAGCCTCATTGGGAGTCTCCCAGAGAAACCAGGCAGGCTATCGATTTCCTACCTGCAGTCTCCAGCAAAGGGAGCTAGGAAAACAAGCGACAGCATTGCATTGTGTAGCTACAGCTGAACAAATCTGGACATTCAATGTGGTCAGAGCCTAAGAACATCAAAGCACAAGGAGGGTTCTTCAAAAAAAGAGATGTGGGTAAGTCTACATTGCACACGACAGTACATTATAGACCAGTGGCACTCAGCCTCCGGCCCACAGGACGGATCCAGCCTGTGGAGCCATGTCATCCACCCCGGGGGTCTCCCTGCAGATCCAGAAATTTGGCAAAGCATTAATTTCTGCTTCCCTGCTGACAAACTTCTGGACCTGTGGGGAGCCCCGTGGGCTGGATGGTGTGGCTCTGCACGGTAGATCATGCCAGCACAGGGAGTAGCCCTGCGGCCATATCTGATGTGCAGGGTTGGGCTGGCACACGGTCACACCTAGCCCACAGACCGACCCTAGGCACAAGATCCAGCCTGAGGGGCTGGACAGGTTGAGCACCACTTACTGAGCAAGGTGATTCTCAACCTTTTTCGATTCCAAGCACTTTCCATAACGTTTCTGAACGTCGTGGCACCCCGACTGGGAACTGCTGCTGTGCTGTCTCAGCTTACTGCACCGGTTCTCAACGGGGGTGCTGCTGCTGTCACCAAGTGATCTGCCCCACGCCTCTGATGAACCTAACGGAGGTATGAGTGCCTACTCTGGCCACGGCCCTGCCTGCTCTGGCCCCACACGCTCATCCCAGAAACAGAGGTACACGGGGCAGTTCCAAACAAGGCTCCCTGGAAATTATCTGTGCATTTCTTGGGTTTTCCCAGGCTGCTGCACCGCTGCCAGGTGCTACTGCTCCACGCGTCTCTATTTCCAGAAGGCAGACATGGCTCTTTGGGTAGATACAATAGCTCAGATCAAAAGCTGGAAAAATTGTTCTTTGCAAGCTTTCAGGTACAAACACCCCAAATTTCCAGAAACGTATTTTCAGAAAGAGCATGCCAGGAACAACTGGGAAGGGTGGAGGCAAGAATGGGTGCTTGGATGGAGCCCCTTCTCAATCTGGCTCTGCATGAAGCAGGGGAATTTCACCCGAATCTGGCAGTCGCTGAACTGTGGCACCCCTGTAAGAGTCTCGCAGCAGCCCAGATGGAAACCCCTGTTATACAGTACCTCTGCGCAGGCTCCTTTATCTTGCTGAGAAGAAAGAGTTGGGCTTCACTATTACAAAGGAAGATGGAACCAAGAATGCATGTGCTAAAGCTAAATCCACATAATGCATGTGCGCACACAAAGGAACAAATATGCTCTCGCCAGAAGCCCAAATGCAACTATTACTCAGCCTTTACAGGGAAGAACTAAATTGCTCCTTAAGTCAGACCAGTTCTCACTAGGTACACAGCTTTTTAAAAACGACACCATTCGGAGCTGCCGCCTTGTAAGAGATTTCCAGCTGTACGCTACCGAGCAAATTAACAGTACCTTTGTTGGAGTCCTTCAAAATTGCACATTTTTAATGATTAGAATTTTCCTACCCATAGATTTCTCAAACCCCAGTGACAAAGTCAAAACGAAATGGTTTCAGACTCTGGGCCTCACACAAGGCTGCTCTTAGTTGGCACTTTGCTGGTGTAGACTGGAACATACAATAACGGGGCTCTCACATCTGCAAAACAGAGTCTGTCTTGGACAGATGTCACCCCAGGACAGGATCACAGAATAATGGAAAAGTAGGGCTGGAAGGGACCTCAGGAGGTTATCCTGTCCAAACCCCTGCTCAAGACAGAATCATCCCAAAACAAGGAAGCTGAGTCAAGTTTAGGTGGGCTTAATTTTGGACAAAATAAAACATATTTCGGGTTCCAGGTGTGGAACAAGCATGTGTGAGAGAGTGTAGTGTTAAGTAATTGCTCTTATGTTCTTAACCACTTACAGATTGAAAGATGCTCTTTGGGATGGCAGGACTATTAATTCTGATCAAGCAACTACATTTCCCCTACCTAAAATCTCAGTGAAATTACACCTGAAAGCAATGTTCTTCCTTTCTTCCCATAAACTGCTGTGAAACATGGCTGCAACTATACTAGCTTGAACTGCTAATATTTCACAAGCCTCAGGCTTAAAGATCTATGAAGACAGGCATCAGAAATGAAATACACTTTTTGCCATCTGGCAAAAATCGTAAAGCCCCCAAAATTTCATTTCAGTTTTCATTTCATAACTGAAGGTTGTGAATGTTTTGGAAAATTCATTTTTGAGTTATGTATGTGCAACCCCTTCACACTTTCTGTACCCATTTAATTGAAATTTCTGCCAAAGCATAACTCAAAAACCAGCAGATATGTTATTATGCTTTATGATTTATTTGGTAGTACTCGGTTTAAAAAAAAAAAAAAAACAGTTGCAAAAACAATATTTTTAAAAGCAGCTTAATTCATATAATGTATTTATTTGTTTCCCCTTGCAGCCTCCCAAAATTGTTTCTGATCTCCTTCCTTTATACCCATATTATATGAGGAAACTAAGGCTGAATTAAAAAACCAACATAAAAAGTTGACACATTAACTATGGATGAAAAATTACCAAAGATTTTGAGGAGTAAGGATAACAATTTGGACAGCACCTGACTGACTCAGCACAACCCACACTGACAGTACGATCTGTCCATCTAAGTCAGAGGCATATCTGACTGATACTTTAGTCCTGATGTACTCTGTAAATTTAAATAATAATGCAGTGAGGTATACTTACACTGTTAAAATAAGATGAAATAATTCTGGCAGAAATTCTCACTCCCGGAACCCAAAATCTTCATGAATTATATGCTCCCTACTATTTTTCATTTGCCTGCCATTGGTGAAATGCTACCAGTTGTTTTTGCTTTGTTTCACTTTTTTTTGTTCCCAAACCTGATTCCTAGGGAAGGACTGGCCTCACGTCTTAATTTTCTCAATTTTTAAACAATACAGTCTGCTGTTTGTAATGCCTCTAGTGTGAATGTGTGTATAGTATGTTTGGTTGGGTATGCATCTGCATGGTATGTTCACACAAGATCATTAAAAATACATCTGAATGTCACAGGTAGACAAGTAGATGAAAAGGTGACATAGCCAAGTACCAAAGTACTTTGCTTTAATTATTTGCGTAACTTTTTTTTGCCAGTCTAAGGAAAAGGGTTTAAGCAATAAAACTTAAATTGATTTAAATACATATTTTATTTAAAAACAGAATACAAAAACATATTCTTTCATTTCATTCATAGCCAGTAAGCCTTTTTCACCCCTCACAGCAAGACTGAATTTTGTTCACTTTAACACTAGAATCCCTACGGTTTTGATATACAGCAGTTTTTAATCACTGTACAAAGAGATCAATTTTTAAGTCACACAGCTATAAACCAAACCCAAGGAGATGAAGCTGCTATTAGACCAGACATCTGCAGCCATTAGGACTGAGTAGACTTACACACAAAGTGTAAAACCTGGCACGAAGCGTGACTGTGAGGATTGGGGTTTAGATCCCATTACGCCTTGAACTACAGGGGGCCTGGATGGCAAACTCCAACTCAGTTGCAATACCCCTTCACTTGACTGCTCCCCGCACTCCGCGACCAGATACCAATTACAGTATTATATAAAGTTTTTTAACTTAGCTGCATCCAAGTGTATCTAGACTTAAATAAACTCTCACTCATAGATTCATAGATGCTAGGGTCGGAAGGGACCTCAATAGATCATCGAGTCCGACCCCCTGCATAGGCAGGAAAGAGT